AGCCTTATCAAAGTGTCGTCACGTTATGAAAAGTCTTTTCTGTTTGGTCTAATTAAGATATTTTTGTAAGTTACATTGAAAACATGGCATTGCGAACCGGAAAATTAACACCTTTACAAAGTGACGAGGTGTCTCACGTATCTAATTATATTTATATGAAGAACTTCGTTAAACATGACATAATTAAAAAGATGAATTAAACTAACATTTTCATAGGATTTATCATAATTTTTAATTTAATTCATTTCTAAATAATATCTCTTAATATATTTACATATATGTACATATATTTTTATAATTTTAATCGTATATAATTAATTGGAACTATTACGGATAATCTTAAATTTTCTCGTTAATAAATATTGTGATAAGTTTAGTATCATATAAATTTATAGTGTAAACAGTATGTATTTAAATACGAAGTTGAATATAGATGTAACCATCATGTTTAAAACATAAATAATTATTATATAAATAATTACAAACTACACATATTAATTGAGAAATTGTATACATATTTGTTACAAATTATAAAATCTCACTTTCACACACATTATATTACATGCAAAAACTGAAAAACAAACAATGAATATGTATTAAATAAAACAATGTTTAAACTGAAGGTAATTGAATAAGGGTATGAATCTTATATCTCCATTTTGCTTGCGAGGGCGGGTGTCCGTGTCCACGGGGAGTGAATCCCGGGGGATCTGGATGACCCTTTACTTGTTAGCTTATATTTATTTAACACTTGATTAAAACTCCATATTGAGATTGACAGACGGCGCTCGTCTGAGGGGGGAGTGCTAATGGAAACGAGTCTTAATGATATTAACGTTTGTTTAGTTTAATTATAGCTAAAGAAAGTGTTTTATTTCTTCTTAGCGATTCAGTAATAAAGCATAAATTACTTTGTACACTTTAAACTATTTTAGTTATGTGAAATATATTCTGTTAATTGTATTATATCAATATATATTATATTTTTAATAATACTAAACGCGTATAAAGAATATGAACGGTCGCCACCCGCTCATATAAACTAAAAACAGTTAAGGAGCTTATGTTAAATTAGTCGATTGTAAAACATATTGTGTCCCTATTATTCCACAGCAATAAACTCCTAATCCCCCATGAAAGGGATAACCGCCCCCCGAGTGGTTGTTTAATTTTATTGGCGAATTAATTGTCCGATGCTCGCGGGTACAGATCTTTCAAACTGCATCCAATGTTTTAATTTGATTGAGTGATGCTGATATGTACGTATGGAGAGTTTGTATACAATATAAGCACTTTGGAAGGTATTCAAAGACTATTTAATGGGAAAATCGTGAAAAGATATTAATTTATTTATATGATTTTACACTATATAACATCTGTGATACCGCTTATACTATTGTAACGTATCCACAAAGGTGATCGTTTGGGTAAACCCAGTCATTAGAATATTTAATAGCGCAATCATAGAAGGACACAGTCACCAAACGAGGTCAAAATAATGTCTTCTCATCAACGGTTCATCTAGTTCTCTAAAAAAATTACGTAATATCACTCATCTGACACAATACTTCATTATCCTCCCTCTTTGCATAAAATAAGTATCTCACGTAACCATCGCAACTAGTGATACAAAACTTAAAATGATGCGACCCAAACACATCCTTTTATTATATAGATATATGGCATAAAACAGCTCGTACAATTATATTCACTATTGAAGATCTGTGATCATATGTTTACATACAGTACATATAAATCTTTGAACAATCACAATGAGAACAAACGACTCTCACCTCGGCTATAACTTGTTATATGTTAATTTATATTTAATATAATAAATTCTTGTGTGAATAGTGAAATGTCCGGGGACAAGGCCGTATTGTCCTGCTAGTACAATGCTATACCAACCTTCAATTGCGTTAATCCATTTTATAGCGTGTCACGAGTATTTTTTTGTGGTACACGCTCATCAAATGTACTGTTCGCTAAAAAAGTTAACACAAAGGGTTACAGTATTTACTAGAAGCTTGATCCGTTCAAAATATTATTAAGGAGGATAAATTTATTGTTGCAAAAATTATAATAAAAGAAAGGGTGATGGGTTTTAATAGATTTGCTGTTTGAACAGACTTTAAATTTATTAAAATTTGATTTCATTTAATGTTAATGTGTAGTCTTATATACAGTTTTTTTGGTGTACTATATATTTTTTACCTCATTTTTGTTACATTCAACGGTGTTCTCAACCTGACCGTACCCCTTGCACTTCAAACCCCTAACTCTAAATCATTTTTAATTATCATAGACGACCAGCCCATGTAAATGAGCTCGCCTAGCCGAGATTAGCAATTTGAATCGTAGTAATTTGGAGATTTATATGCAAAGCTCTTGTGGTCCTCTATAAAGCATTGTACGAAGGAAAATAAGTACATACTAATGCCGTCTTGAGTGGCCCATTGTCACTCCTTTGCTATAGATTTATGAGCCGTAATGATTTAATAAATATCACATAAATAATATTTATGGTGGGATTTCTGGCCGTTGGTCAGTTACATCTGCTGGGAGGAATGTAGTCCGTTTCTTGATTATTGTAAAATATTTATGAATGAATTGTTATTACGTTTTCGGAGCACATCTTAAAACTCTCGTTCAAATGGTTTGTTGTCGTGCAAAAAAAAAGTCTCAGATAATTTGATTGACAGCATTGTGTTGAGTTCATAGGTTCTTGTACCTTCGACTACGGCCGGGTAGTGAATAGTCTCATCTTGACACGGAAACAAAGCCTTTTGATGTTATCTCTGTTGATACAATTCTTTCTTATGGGAAGTCACGGGACTTGAATGCTTTCCGTTAATTTGCATTATGGTACAAGTTTTTTTTTGTTACTTTATTTAAGTTTTTTGTTAAGCTGGGATACTGCGCCATTTATTTTGCAAAAGTTTGTCTGTATTATTCTAGCTAAAGCAACAAATAATTAATCTAGTCGTTATAGCAACTAAGTTTTGGTTTAGGTAATACAAGTAGCGTTTACTTAGGAAATAAACCCCTTGGGGCTGGATGGCAATGTTTACTAGACGAAATTAACAAAACGGATAAAAAAGAGGTAAAAAAAACTTTAGTAACTCCGTCGCTAAGGCTTCAGTATAAACAACAGTAGATCTGAAGTACTCCGAAGTTTTTCTAAGGTTTGGCTGGAATTAAGAGTTTTGTTTTGTTTGAGTTTCCACTACCTAATGACTAGTGGAGCCGTACACATTTACATTGCAAAATCCAGCTAAAGGGGAGGAAATAAGAAATAACAAAGAAGTTTTTGTGCATTTTGAAACCGAACTACGCTCCGAAGTAAGCTAAATATTCTAAAAAGGTATCGGAACGTCCGAACCAATACATAAACTTGGGCGTTATTCAATACACGTATATTATGTACACATCGGTCATGTCCAAGAACGAATGACCAATACATGACGTATTCTCTTCACTCCTGAACGAATGAATTTAGACCGAACGTGTATAGTTTTCATCCCTCCTTTACTCAATACCACCACCGACCAAAGTAACATGAGACCCACACATGTATGTATTCTCCCCGTCGGTATGTCGTCAATGTATGACAGCGGGGAATGCGATAGCTCTATTAAAGCTGGACTAAGCTCTACTGTATTTGTCTTTAGGCTTAGAGTATGCACGCTGTATCTGAGACAGGAAATTAGGTTTCGATGTTTGAATGCAATGTATCTGTTGGATGATTTAATATTCAATGTAGGCAACTGATAATAATATAAAATAAATTTTAATTAAAATTTGTTATAGTATTAATTTCATACTACAACGCAGATAAAAGAATTATGTTTTGTAATAAAATAAAAGTCACAAAATTTATCAAATTGATACTTATTCGTCACTTTATAATGCGTTTTTAATTATTTCTGCTATTGTAATATATTAATGTGTATATTGCTGCTAATATGTTACATAAGCCCATCCCAGCTATATCCTCGTCTTTACCAGGGCAAAGCGAATACAACGCGTCGTTTTCGGAGATAAGCGAGTTGCTGATTAGAAACATTGCTTTCCGATGGATCCGTATTCGTCATACACTCGAGGAATATCTAACATTATGACGTCATACATCCTGTCTTATTTAAAGAACATATATGTACAGACTATATAAAATATAAGGATTTTTTTATTCATCAAAGAGGACCTATTATAAATATGTCAGATCTAAGCATAATTAATTCTTGTATATAATTGTTTTCCCGCTACCACCCACCATCGCTAGTGGTGACTGGCAACATTTCATATTATTGTTCTGATGTTTTATTCTACTATAATGTTCAGGTGCCACAATCACGCGTCCAATTTCACGCAAATCATAATATCATTTGGCGGTAAATGCAAAGCGCCGCCATATTTTTTTTTCTTCTTCAAAATAGAAAGTTTTGTTTTCGGTAAGTTCTTTTTTTTTACTGTTAGATATTTAACTTTTATATTGATATAGTATTTAATAGACGCGTTATTATGTATTGTAAGTTTTAAATTATGTATATAATATTTGTTAGTCAGTCTACAATATGAATTCAGTTTGTCGAAATATAACTGTATCTATGACTGAATATAATTTCAACAAAACCTATTAAAATTTTTAAATATCAATATAAATCAATTTTGTATTAAAGTGTTTGATTTTAACACTTTTATATAGATAGCTAATTCTAAGGCGTATCGTGTTACTCATTTAATTTACCGACCCCGACCGTGGGTGGATCGCTATAATTGGTTTTGTTTCGCATTACAACAAACAAACAAAGGTTACGCTAACAAACAACATCTTTATTAAATAACCACAGTTTCCTCTTTATTCATCAATGTGATGTAATTTAATTAAACGAAACTTACAAAAAAGAACATGATTTATATAAAAACTTTTTCGTCGCTCCATATTTTCACATGCTGGCCGGTTGACATTAATAGCCGTTTGATATAAAATATAATTATGATTAAAGATATTTAATCTTCAAATTTGGAACTAGTTTTGTCCACTCTGTAAAGCGACACTCGACTGCAATCAACGTCTCCGCGGGGCGTCCCACGTGGCCTCCACTACTGGGGATGAGCGCATCGAGCCGAAACAACTGCCGCCTCATACTATACCTGTCAACAATGAGAACATTATACATTTTATATTAAATAATAATGCAAATACTTTATTAGTAAATATATCGATAGTGATTTAGTAGCTAAATTTGAATATCGAATATTTTATCCTCGTGTCATATTTTTTTATTTCTATATTAGGTTGGCTGTATAGTATATATTTTTAATTCGTTCTATTCCTATACAACTTAATGCACTGTTCTGTTTCTATCAAAACAAATCTGCAAGTAATGCACCTAATAAACTAACTGATTACTATTTCCTTCATCATAAAGGGCATACAATACGATATAACTGAATGAATGGAGGGGCGCACTAAAGAATGCTATTAACGGTATTATAATAGCATCTATAAGCCTGCCGATACAACAGGAGCAATCCAGATAATTCTCATTAAACACAGATCTATTGGATGTTGTCGGTCGATTCTAAAACGCATTATGCATAACCGCAGGCGGTCTGATTGTGGCAGTCTCTGGCAGTCTTTGTGGCAGTCTTTGTGGCACGTCACTACCGAGACCGGGTCCCGCCAAAATTTAAATGTCATCGTTCCAATTCGAAATTCAATTACGTGTAATTAATGCGGGCTGTCGGTGGCGGTGGTGTATTTGAAAACAATACACCGTCGGCTGCTCAAAAGAGGTTTTAGTTTTTTATCTGTGGAACTGTTGATAGCTGTTAGAGTAATAATGATTAATTGTCTGGTTTTTTTTTGTTGCTAAATGTTCACAATTTAGTTTTACGCCTTGATTAACGCCGACGTTTTTGTATTGCCCAAATTTTTTGTCAAAATAGCACGTTTAGTGTAAAAAACTGGTATTAATATGTAATAAACAAAACAATGTGTAAATATATGTACGTCAAATATCTAGATGACAATATTAAAATTGAATCCGGCCATAGGATGTATAATAAATATTCAACGGAATACAATTGAGAACAAAACTATTACAATTATTCAACAGAAGTTCGCTAGCTCTCGAAACAATGTAGCATTGTGTAAAACAAGTATTGACAGCCGTTTATACGACACGTCACGTCGACGTGACGACATTTTAATATTAAATATATCAAAATAGAAAACAGGCAATAATTTGATGATAAAATAAAATATTTGTTACCGCGATCTTATTTGTATTGATAAAATATTAATAAAAGATATTAAGCTTCATAATAATCAGATATCGTATCGTATACGTGTCGTTGTGTTTAATGAAAATTGTTTTAATGGTAGCCAAAAACAGGTACATAATTAGGCAGTGGGATGTACAATGCGGGGCGGAGCATTCCTACACGTTGTGAGGTGTTAGAACTATTGTAAATGTTTTTTATTGTTTAAACGACGCTGGATGTATCAGGGAATGTGACTGACTTACTTGAACAGGGATACTATAAAGTTAATATACCTTTGAACGAGTATAGATTACGGTATGAGCACAAGTTTATATGCAGACAGATGAAGAGGCTTACTAAACCAAGTTTTAAATAGTCCGATACTCAAATATATTTATATATGTATGTATAAAAAATCACAATGAATAAATATAGAGAAATTACTTATAACATAATACTTCAGGTCACAGGTCCAGTGACAGATAGATTAGTACGAAATAATGAAGTGTATAAGCGCATAGCTTCATCAAATAGGAAGCGGCTGTAAGCGTTCGCACCCCCATAATCGTCGCAAACGCCCCAAAAGAAAACCTTTCGTTCCACAAGATGTCGCCACAAAGGCTCACTCATCCTTACACGTTACGAGAACATCACACCTATACTAAAAGTGCCTTATTAACGACTTTCCTAGTGTGGCTTATCAAGCCCACGCAAAGCCTCGGTTTTAGAAAAAACTTCAAAGGTGGCCGGGAATGTTTTCAGTCGGGCTTTCGCCTTTTTTCAATGGCAATTAGTTAGCGTTTCTGCTGACGCTCGCTCTTACGCCTTATGCAATTATGACGTCGAGTAGTTCAGACAAGGATCCACGTGGATTGGAGCCGCTACGATATAAATTAGTTGCAGCAAGTTTTATAAAACATATGACCAGTGACGTAATATATTGTGTATAGTGCAGTTGTACTACAGAAAAGATGTTACGAGGCATAGAGAACCATCTAATAGAGTACGGAGTTAAAAATCATCTGCGTATTATTATTTCATTTTATTTACTTAAATAATTGAACCAAAACTATTATACAGCTTATTACTAAGTACACTGTTAATTGAAATGGAATTTTTATAAGCGAATTTTTAATAGTAGTTACAGTTAAAATATGTCAGCCGCGTCCATATCTGAACAAACTATATTCTGACATCCGAGCCCCGCTGAGGGTGTCTTAAACTAAAAATATTGATATAAAACCCTGGCTTTAATTAAGCTTTTCACTCGTTTAATTTTTTACTTAGCTGAACTCTGACTTTTTGGTTAGTGCTAATTTATTAAAGCATTAATTAGCAATGGATCGTTTTGATCGACGAAGCGAGCCAGCCGTTTTCAACACTTTTTTATTGGTCATGTTTCACTATTTTATTAAATAACCACACTCACCTCAATGTTTAACTGCGTTTTATATTTTAATTTTAACGATATGTTTTTGTGTAATTTCGTATAGTGTTGCCAGTGGTGTAGTTAAATGTAATAGTAATTTTATTTAAACTATTCAATAAGATTTCTATGAACAAGAAGAAACATAGGTAGCAAAAGGTACCATAATGTTGTTGTTTAAAAATCTGTTACATAATGTAAATTTATTTAATTTGAAGCCCATCAACCCATAATTCTGATTATAAGTATTATAGAATAACTTTAATGTAATTTGTGCATAAAGTTGAAGGGACAACCAGCTTTGTTTTATGTTTTGGCAACTTTAATTATCCGTTTTGCTTTTACAATATTTTTTAATGAATAATTATTTCCTATGATGCTGGCTCATACATAATTACTGACGTTAAATTCTTTTTAACACAAATAACAGGGCAGCGTTAATTAAAATTTGGTAATACCCAGCCAGCATAATTAAAATAATGATACATACAAGTACAAGGAGTTGCACGTTTGTTCTTTCGGCTTTTATCAGAAGACTCCCGAAATGTTACCAAAGAAACAAATCTCATTAAAATTGTGCAAACTTACCATAAACTAATTGGCAAAGCGCGTATTATCCGGACCGGCTGAAACACACTTTTCAACTGACGAACTTCTAATTAAACCAGCCACTTCTGAATCTGTAAGCTTATCTAAGCAGACAAAGCCTATTCACGGGATTTTGTCGCTTGTGGCTGTTATCTTTGAAGGTATTTTTGTATGCGGTGGTAGCTTTAATTGTAAGATTATGCTTGTGGGTGTGAGGGTTCTTGGAGAGATTTTGAACTAAGAGAGCCTGCAACGTCGATCACGAACAAAAGGCATGGAAAGGCAATTGATCTTCACAGACGCGATTAGCGTTAAGGCGTTGAGGAGGAAACGCCGAGTGGAGCCTTTTCATGGGGAAAAATGGGGAATCTTTAATATGATTTTTATGACTTAAAAATAATATGTCCTTCAATGTAGGAGCCTCTGTCGGCTACGAGAGATTTGGCGGATAAACTCACCACACGAATACAAGATAGTACAGGTACGATTTCAGATGGATTAATTTGTTTCTAAAAATGAAATAAGGTAAATTTAGGAAACCGTCTAAAGTTACAAACATTAAATGATAGAAAACCATTGTTTTTATACAATAAAGGAAATTAGTTAAAAAGCTTTTGTCATTGAAGTCGGTGTGAAGTTGCGTAACGTTTGAACAAAAGGGAAAATTGTTTTACAGCAAGTTAAAAAGATGTAAAAAGTTTTATTAAAAATAAAGTAACACTGCAAGAACCGGTTACTCAATAGTAAACAATGTGAATTACTTGGACTGCGTAATACTCGCAGGAAACAATCTTTCAGACATCATACAGGGAGAGCTCTGAGACAATGGACCCAGCTGAAAAGAAACTCAGACTTTCATGACAAATGAATATTTTACAAGAATACAGATCAAAGGAATGAACTAAAACAGTTTAATATAATGCCAAGTGTTTATTGCCACACTGTCTACAAGTGTACATACAGACACTTATTTTGTATGAATAGAAATAATTACATGGTTAAATCTTTGGTCCCGCGTCTTTCCTTAACAAGCCTTTTGAATGAACATTTGAAAGGTATAACTACCTTCATCAAACGAAAAATATATTGCCAAATAAGTCTTTGTGATCTTTAATAAACATATTGTATCAAAGCAATTATATTATATATTTTTTGACTCCGTAACAAAGTTTCAAATGTTAAGAAACTACTACTCACTGTACTCAGAATGTTCTAACGGACCAATTCACAATGGTTATTGACAATTTAGAAAATTTATCGTTTATAAAAACATCAGCGTCGTGTTAGAATAGACACGTCAATAGTAAAAGCATCATTTGGCGCACGCTCAGCTGGCTGTGCTACCATCAACGTCACCGTGGCCGTCTGCACCGCCTTTATCACCAACAAATAGAGTCCATAATATACGTAAAGAGAATCATCACCTATGGCCCCTAATATCTGATTTATGACTACGCTCGGAGACCCGACAAAAACTCGCGTCAAAAGAACAAGAAACACAAATGAATGCATATTACAATACCCTTAGTAATTGTTTAGACAAAAGCCTTACATTTGATTTTCAAATACACAAGTCAATAGCCTATGAATCCTAAAAGAGTATTTAAAACAATCCACTAGAGTTAGAATTCAATTGATTAATGTTTGACTTGTTGCCTCGAGAGTCCGCTTCGCTGCAGGAATATCTCCGGCCATCAAAGCTGCGCCGCTATTACCGCAGTTAATATTTATGACATCTTATCAAGCATAGAAAGGCATTGAAACAAAAGAGACGTTACCTAGTTGTATTGTGGCTGTAATGTCGCCCATACAGCTTTAACTGTTGTTTTAGAGGAATTCGTTATATTTAGCCATTGTACCTCTTTCTTACGGTCGCCTATAATTTTATGGCATCTGTCTATAACAAAATAATGTTCCATATTGTCAAGTAACAATAGTGTTTTGGGACATTTCTTCATTTAACTGTATTCAACTAATTGTTCATGGTAAAAGCTAAACGGTTGGAAACACCGCAAGACCATGGCACATTTAAGAATAATTGTTATAGCATTTTGAGCGATATGCTTTCACAATATGATTGTTTTTGGTGTAAATTAATATTAAAGACCCTGCTGTTTCGGGACCACACTAAGAAGAATCAACAAAAAACTATATACAATACGACAAAAATAGTATCCGTGACGAATATTAAGGCGAAAACAATGTAGTCATCAGACGGGATCATAAAAACATAATATCTCACTTACAATACAGTTTAAAAACAATAAAGAGAATACAGAAACAAATATTCAACCATAAAAATGTATTATTATCTTCGATATTCAATAAATAACAACAAAGTTATGTCAAAACATTCTGTGAAGTAAGACTTTAAGTTAACTACGTCCCAGTATCATTACCGACGGATTCATGATATTCTC